CTAATAAGTGATGTTGGATACATAAACTTTCACTTGGAATAATTTTACAATATTTGCAATATAAAAGAACCATTTTTCTTGTATGAAAATAATCAATTTGAGTTTTACTATATTCATTCTTATAAATGATGAGATGTTAATATCTTTTCTTAAATAAAGTATTAACAATTACAAAATCATAAGCTAGATGGAGAAAAATCAAATACACTCTTACCACCTTTATTTGTCGCTCTGATGTCATAACCATCATGAATGCTTTTAAAATTATCTACCTCTCTCCTAATATGTCCGTTTAAATTTCCTCTAATTAAAACTCTTACTTCTAGAAGTATCATTTGTATTAGTTTTTCTATGTTATTCAAATATTTTAATTTTAAACATATATCTAAACTTACTTGAGGAGCATAAGCGCTTATAATATTAATAATTTTAGCATCAATAATCTTTAAAACTATAATTCTATCAATTTTTACAATATCATCCTTCAAATTCTTATCTATAATCACACCTACATCATTTATAGTACGACTCATACGAGAATATCATAGTTTAAATCTTAACCTATCAATCTCTTTAGCTTTATTTCCAATCCATTTAGTTTCATGAATGCATAAAATATTTATCTTCATATGGATCATAATATATATTAATTTCATATATTTCCTGTAAGGGAACATGTATTTCAAATTCCTATTCTAATGTTAGTTTCATGTACAAGCTTATTTGCTCACATCAATCCATAATGTGAGAACCCTTGCTTATTTAACAATGCACTCGGGCGCCGGTGCAGCAGCCCTTGCTCACTTGCCATTGTATTCAGGCCATATAATGTGTCGCTTCCTGGAATGCCCTAGCATTAATATAATCTATTAAATGATTTATATCATGATTATTCGATAAATTTTATGCTGACTGTCGACTACCTAACATAACCCTCAACTTTTCTCATTTAGGACTTGGGACTATGAAGCGACAGTGTTAAAATTTAACACCAAATAATTAACACACAAAAATTTCCTTCCAAAGATGATAGATCCTTCCGAGTTCCAATTCAACATGCTTTCAGTGGAAGCAATAAATTGCATTGAATACAAGGTATGAGTTTTAAATAATCTCTGAGTATTTTTTATTTTATAAATAATATTGAGAGCATTGTGGCAAGAGATTACATGTATTGTTTAATCATGTTCCTTTTTATATAAGAATCTAGAGATTAATGTTTCGTTTGGGTCAACTTTTGGCAAGAAGTTTTTGTTGTTGTTAAAAAAAATTATACTCTAAAGTTACTTTAATAAATAGTAAAAAAACTGTCCTAAAATGATGATCTTCTTTAAAATACTCTTAGTAATTGATGCTTATCTAGACGAATAAGATAAGTGATTCAATATGGATGACATACAAGTTGGAAGTAGTCTAAAATCTCTAGTGTGTTTGTGCATGATTCTGTCTCTCTTTCTCTCTACTGATAAGTGCAGATATATATATTTTCAAAATAAAATTAGAAACATTTCTCTAAAAAATGAGCAATCAATATATTTAGCAAATTAAGACTGTTATGAGTCATATAAAGTCAAAGTTAAATTTTATAAAAAAAAATTGAGTGTATGGAGTTAGTTGCTTTTAAGCCTAATCATTTCAACCTACCATATATTGCGAGAAGATGTTGAACATTATTCAAATAATATTTATGTCGTTAATTTCTAAGAAAAAATAAATTATGTCCATTATTGCATTTCAACTTCAGAAGTCCATTTGTAGCCAAAATAAATAAATGAATATGATATCTCAATATTTTTTGATAATATATAAATCAAAACTCCACATCATATTTAAGAAAAAAACAAAGCGCACTACATATTATTATTTTTACTATGCTAATATTAAATGGAGTTTTTGCCAAACTAAATATTTAATAACAAGTAGTCCTCATACAATAATAAAATAATAATTTATTTAATATGTCCAATCAATAAATATCAAATTTACTTTTTTTTTTCTTTTTTTTTTTTATATTTAAGAAATCATCCTTTCCATTTTATGAACTTTTAAGTTTAACTTTAGAAAAAATAGAAAATTTAAAGGACTTTTTGATTTGTTGAAAAAGGAATTTAAAGTAAAAGGAATATAATATATTTGAAATATTTTAGAATTATTTAGATGAGCGTAAAACAAATGAAAATAATAATTATTATTTTTGTTTGAAGTAAAGTCAATGTAATGTAAAACTCAATGATGGTAGTTAGCGACGATAAGCATGGGCGGCAACCAATGGTGGGGTGATGCAAGAACAATATCAACCTGAACTACTAGTAGAAATTGATGAATGTGAGTCAACACTTGGAATCTTTCTTTCCATATGCAGAAAGTTCTCTCAACAACATTTCGTAGTTGGGCATGACGATGATTATATAGCTCTTGTGCAACCGTACCTACGAGAAGCATCAAAACTGTATTCACCCAAGTGATACCGATACCCTTTAAATGATGCAAATAGTTTATCTATGTTTGTGTATCAGGAATCAACAAAAACATATTTATTAGCACTCACTTTAAAATCACCTTTTTGGACTGCTCATCGTAAAACTCTCATATCAGTTGCTGATCCTTCCCAGCTGGATCCCACATAAATGTCAAATGATACTATAACAATGACGTTTTGAGAAGTGAATCGCTTCCTATTACAATATTGATTATGCAAGTTTCTGTTAACAACGGCTGGAATGTGAGTCCCGTCTATAGCTCATACTGCATTTTTGTAGAATCAATAAAATTGAGCATTCGAACGTATAAAAGGATGGCATTCTGCTTCGACACTTAGCATTATAATAAATTCATTAGATAATGATATTATAGCACAGAAGACCACATTAAAATACCCACTAATAATTTCAAGAGAATGCTGAAAGAACTTCCACAACTGTCTGTAACTGTGTGCATGAGCTATATACCCCGCAATAAATAGTCAATTGCTCTTGCATAAAAAAATTTTTAGTACATGAAGCAAAGAATGACTTTCCAACAAAGCCTTAGTCACACGTCTAAAAAATATTGCTATATTCCATTTTTAATTCTATAAATCTTGGCCTATATTTAAAATGTTACATAATTTTTACAACTAAACTAATTTTAATAAATTTTTTTTGTTATTTTTTATCTTTTCTTGCACATTTTTATTCCACCACCAAATATTTATACTATTAGTAGTTTTTTCCCCTGATACTCCATTTGTATCTTTTGCAACAATCTTAATAACATTAAGTACTTTTTCTAACATAATATTAGATTTCTTATGCACAGATAAAATCTTACTCTTAAAAATATTTTTGTTAATAATATTTAAATGCCCCCATCTAATCCTAGAATAACGATTGCTTTATTTTTTATCTTCTTCCTATTTATCTTAAAATTCAAAACTAATAAGCGATGTTGGATACATAAACTTTCACTTGGAATAATTTTACAATATTTGCAATATAAAAAAATCTATTTTTCTTATATAAAAACAATCAATTTGAGTTTTAGTATATCCATTCATATAAATGATGAGATGTTAATATCTTTTCTTAAATAAAGTATTAGAAATTACAAAATCATAAGCTAGCTAGTGAAAAATCTAATACACTCTTACTACCTTTAATTGTCGCTCCAATGCCATAACCACCATGAATGCTTATAAAATCATCTACATCTCTTCTAATATGTCCGTTTAAATCCTCCAATTAAAACTCTTTCTTCCATAGGTATCATTTGTATTAATTTTTCTAGGTCATTCCGATATTTTAATTTTGAACATATATCCAAACCTACTTGAGGAGCATAAGCGCTTATAGTATTAATAATCTTAGCATCAACAATCTTTAAAACCATAATTCTATCAATTTTTACAATATTATCCTTCAAACAATTATCTATAATAACACCTACATCAATCACTTTAGCCTTCTCTCTAATCTATTTAGTTTCCTGAATGCATAGAATATTTATCTTCATATGAATCATAATATATATTAATTCCATTAATTTTTTATGAAAGGTAATATGTATTTCAAGTTCTTATTCTAATGTTAGTTTCATGTACTGGCTTATTTGCCCACATCAATCCATAATGTGAGAACCCTTGCCTATATAACATAAATAATTTTTCTACAATTTGCTCCTTTCTTTTCATTGCTTAGGCCCTACGATTTTGCTTTTCTCATTTATTTCTTCGTTGTTGTTCTTCTTTGGCTCCTTCGTCGCTGTTTGACTTCGCTCCTTTGACGATGTTCCCTTCGTGTTGGATCGGAAGTTACGTCATTTTGATCGGAAGCAACAATGGGAGCTCGCTCGCTGTGAAGGTAACTTTCTCCCTATTGCACGTTTCTTCAGCCAAATCCCGTAAATTCGCCGATTCAAAGGATTTTGTAAGGTGTTGTTTGGCAATAAGTGGGATTTAACTTCAGTGGGATTTAATAAATACTGTAAATCCAGATTTAGTAAATCCCGAGGGTGTTAAATTCTGAAAACTGTTTGTATGACAAATGTTAAATCCTGTTAAATCATGAGAAACTGTTTGACAACATAGTTTATTATTTATGGTAGATAGGAATTTAAATGTGAAGAAGATAATTATAATTTTAAGATAATTACATATAATATAAAAGTACAACTTGAATTCATAATATGTAACTGAAAATTCAATAAATAGGAGATGACAAACTAATATTGATTAGTTAATTATTTTTTGAACATAGAAATATTTCACTAATACTTATACTAATGAATTAATTAATTATTTAAAGATTAAACTGATCTAATGACAAGTATATTATTAATAGCTATAATAACCAATCAACTATAAAAATATTAATTAAGCTAATTATATTAATATTTAATTACTAATCATATTTCTAATTATTAAATTAAATTAATTTGGCAATAATTATACTATTAATTATTTAATTAATTTACTTAATTATTAATATTTTAGATTATATTAATTAAGGTGTCTAGGGCTTGCTTTTCATCTTCTCTTTTCGTCGTTGCTGTTTTGCTTCGTTGCTTCGCAGGTGTAGAGATTGCACGAGTCGCTTCTTCTGCTCCTTCGTTGCTGTTCGACTTCACTCCTTCGACAACTCTCCCCTCCTGTTGGATCGGAAATTAAGACATTTTGATCGGAAGCAACAACGGGAGCTTGCTGGCCGTGAAGGTAACTTTCTCCCTTTCGCGCGCTTCTTTGGCCAAACTCCGTAAATCAGCCGAACTAGAGGATTTAGTAAATCCGAGATTTACGGCAAAAAGAGGGAAACGGAGGATTTATTGCGCCGTGAGATTTACGGGGCGATAAAATCTCGTTTGGCAGAATTTAGCATAAATCCTGCTAAAATCCCGCATAAATCTTGTTGCCAAACAGCCCCTAAATCTGGGATTTACCACGAAAAACGGAAATTTCCGTCAACCGCGGCTTAGATTTACCGCGAGATTTGGTTTTGCATTTTTTGCCGTTTGGCTGGATTTAGCTCAAATCCGTACCTAATCCGGCCTAAATCCTGCATCCAAACAGCCCCTACGAGCGGGAAAGGCGGATGGAGAAGAAGGTGGTTGTGGTTTGTAGCCTTGTGGGCTTTCTTGGTCTTCTTTCCGCTGCCCTTGCGTTTGCTGCGGAGGCTACAAGGATTAGGGTTAGTCGCCTTCTCCTTATTCTTCCATGTTGGGACTACTTATTTTGTTGAACTGGTTAAGGATGGTCTGCTATTCGTTTATCTATTTTTGGTAGTTTTGTTGAATTCTAGGCTTTCTAGGCATTCTTTGGAAGATGCAGTTGGTAGTTTCGTTATGGGAAGTGGTCATATATCTTGTTCCGAAAGAAAATCTAATTATTTCTGGATATTGAGTTTGATTTGTTTGTTTGTTGGAGCTGAGGATGTTAATTTTGATAGGAAAGACGTGTTTCTATCTTCTATGTCTGAAATCATTGAAATTTAGTGGTTGATGGTTTCTGTTGTTTTGTTTATTTGTTAAGAAGCTCTATTTCATGCGAATTTTGAGTTATAGGGCTAGGCATTTAGTATTTCTAGATTTGAAATTTGCATTTTTATTTGGTTATTAACCAAGTTCATCTTTGCATTTTCTTTTTGCTTTTGGAAATATTGTTTTCTGCCACTAATGAGGCTTCCTTCATTGAATGTATTAAGTTGCAATGTTTTCAAAGGTGAAGTTTTAGGTCGAGGCATTTTACATGTCATGAGGGTGACGCCTAAGCCTTGAAGTAAAGGGGCGTAAGGTCTATATGAAATTTGTTTATTTAAAAATTTTAAATACAAACTTATAAAAAAAGGAATATATAAAATGGAACTTAAAAAATCTACAAAATAGGGATGATTTTCATAGAAAATAAAACATGAAACATTTCTAAAATAATAGTGAAGACTTGAGTAGGAAATAGTGAGTAAGCATTTTTGTCTTGCCTCCAACAATATGACAGTGTAATCTTCATCAACCTCCATCTAATATGCCATAAAACATTGGCACTAGGCATTTGAAAATCAAATTTAAATTTGCAAGCCTTTGTCAAACCTCGATTGATTGATGTACTTATTAATTTGAGTTCATCATTGGCATACTTAACACGAAACTGCATAAATGGCCTTGGAATACGAAGGCATTATCATGATGAAGTTCAGATTTTTTGAGAAACATGTTCGTTCATTCATGAGGAGAAGTACACTCTAATAATATTTTTTTTCAAAATGCATTGTATTATTGAAAAACATTCAAGTTATGAATTATTATGTAATGCTTCAAGCCATTAATAATGAATACAAGTTAACTTTATTTGGTTTGGACGTTTCAATGTGAATTATTTGAGTTGGGTAGGATGATTGAAACTTACTCTCTTCCATAACACAACTTGCACATGTAATTGTGTTTAGCTCAGTTTTATGAAATTGGGTTTTTGAAATAAACCTTTTCCCCTAAACTCAATGAAATAATGAGCAAGTCAATTAGGTCAATGGAAATAAAATTTTTTTCCCATGCCTTCACTTTGTATGCATTATAATAGAAAATTAATGGTAAATTTATACAAAGGATAAAAATCCATTCAATCTATTACTTTAATGTGCTCTACTTTTATGTGTTTACAAAAAAATAATATATTTTTAGCATACTATATACAACTCATGACACTCTTATTCTATCATTTCCTAAATAAGTACTATTTTTTCCCCTCATTCAATCTTTATCACGTAAATCACTTTTAGCAACATCTTTATTATTTAACATAGTCTAAAAGCAATGATATGCTTTGATGTTTTATCTCTTATATTGAAAACCTGTGTTTGTTTTCATGCTAAGAGTGTCAATGAGCTGAGCACGAATGATTTGGGGCTTTGTTTGTTTCGGTTCACTAACTATCAGGTAAAACAGAAATGCACTAATTTTTATCAAACAACTAAATAATTTTATTCATGTTCGAGTGATTTATTATGAAGTCAAATACAAATTAGACATGAACTATAAACCACCATCAATTTCATCAATTTTTTTTTATTTATGGCTTCAACTGACCTGAAAAAAATTGTGATTTTTATATTATAACATTTTTGTAAGGGTAAAATTCAAAGCTTGCGTTGCACATAATTTTACAGTGGATTCAATAACTTTCAATAGTAAAATATATAGGTGAAAATAAATAAAATATTTAATTTTATGAATTTATGTATATATAGAAATGTTTATATGGATATTTATGTACATCAAGTGCTTATTGACAAGCTGAACATAATTAAGATGGTCATTGTTTTGCTCATCAGGTAATTGCGTTAAAATTTCTTTTTTAAGATTAGGTTGTTTAACTGTGTTGAAAAACTTGTTTAAGATCAAGTCGATTAACGAATGAGTTGATCATACATAATGATTGAGCTGAACACAATCTATTTGTGAGCATTAAACTTATTTGACACTCCCATTCCATGCTTAGTGCTCAAATTTATTAACTAAATCTTGTTGAATTGAGTGGCTTTTGATCAAAACAAGCCTACTATGAGCTTGTGCTTGTCTTAGTTGAGTTCAATCAATGTGTTCCCTTTCTTTCAGGCTTCTGATGTGGTGACAAAGAATTTGGGTGATTGTATATATCCAAAGAGCCCAGCTGTATATCTTGGATTATTTTCAGCAGTTGTTGTTGCAATAGATCAAGCTGTTATCAATTTTGTTTCCGGGTGCATATGCTGCAAGAGAAATTTAAACCGCCACAACACTAACTGGACTGTAGCATTGATATCCTTCATTGTCTCTTGGTAATTTTTGGGACTAGATGATTATTCTTTTTATTATGCATGGAATATAAGCAATTATGTTTTAGTATGCATGAACACTGCTTACTGCTTAATGCATTTTACATGCTAAATAAGTTAAAGTGAATTTGTTCTTTGTTTATGTGTTTGTGCTATAATAGATTCATACTATGTACGGCTGTTGATTTTAAAGTTTTTCACATAAATTCTATAATATTATTGTTGGGGCAGTACTTTTGTGCAAATTCATGTAGTAGTTTGCAAAAATGGATTTCTGGTTCACTTAGTACATCTCTTTCTATTTTATTTACTAGTTAATTAAATTTATAAGAACGCCTTGTAGACATGAAATAAGTTAAACGAGCATCATGTTATTATAGCATCAATAGTATAAATACTTTTGGATTGAGTGGAACATTTAAACACTATTCAACATTGTAATAATGTCTCTCCCCATCAAATTCTAACATTTTAGCAACCTTAAGAAAATTTTACACGGGTCCTTGAGATTTGGTTCTTTTCTCAACCTATGGCTTTATGCTATTGTTTATTGGTAATTTAATCATCATTATATCATGATCAAAGATGGTATGATACTCACCTCACTGGAGGGTTTTGTCTTTTGCGAGGTCAGGTCTTATCTTGGGCAATTTTGTTTTTTATCATAAAACCATGCACCTAAATTGGACTTGAATTCAAGTTATCTCACTTTGTTATCTTTAAGAGAGTTTGTTATCCTTTTGCTTTATTAATTTTCCCTACTCTAACTTCTGTGTAAATTAATGATTATGGGTTTGTGAAGGATAGATTCTAGAGGATGTGACATGTGAGTGATGGTTTAGCTTTTTATGCATAATAATGGAGTAGACACATTGTGATTAGGCTCATTTGGTGTGCTAATGTAGAAAGAACATGAAAAATAACAACAAATTGGTAGATTGGTAAAATGGTTCAAAGATTTTAGAAGGATGTTGTGTTTGAGGTTTTAAATTTTTTATTAGGTTGTAACATTCTTAATTTTTTTTTTCAGCATTTTGTGACATTAAGAATAATGAACTTGTCCTTATATATGTGGTACTTATGCTGTTTTACTTTGGATTCATGTATCATTTATTGGACAAGAAATGAGCATAATAAATGCTATAATATTTCAACCTGCAGTAATAAAAATACCAAGTTCATTCTTTTTAATGAGATATTTTGTTGGTTTCATGAACATTGTGCTGATGTGGAGTTAGGATATATATTTGATATCAAATATTAAATTGGAGTTGTTATATATTGTATTAGGCTGTCCTTCAGTTGATTCACATCATAACTCAACAAACCTATCACTAAACATATGCCTTTTATTTAAATAAACACGTCATGTTGGTCTTTCTTTTTTATTTGGAAGGATAAAATTATTAACCAATCATCATCTTTTATTCATTTGGAATTTTTCATTATTCTTTGAACTAACTAGTTTTAGCATTCTGCAGGGTTACTTTTGTCATAGCATTTCTTCTATTATTGACTGGTTCTGCACTAAATGATCAGAAAGGTATGCAAAAGATGTACTTGGGCAATTACTGCTATGTTTTGAAACCCGGGGTCTTCTCTGGAGGTGCATTTTTATCGCTTGCAAGTGTTTCTTTAGGAATTATTTACTATTTGGCACTTCAAAAACCAAAAAGTTCACAGTCATGGGGTCCTCCACATAATCAGGGGATTGCTTTAGGACAACCCCATATCCCTCCTCAGACAGAAAATCCAGTCTTTGTGCACGAGGATACATACAATAGGCAACAAGTTTTATAGCAAAATTTTTTAGTTTGCAGAAGGCCAGAACAATATCTTTATAAATCTGTCTATAAAATCGGAACTATTTATAAACACTGCATAAGGGCTTTGTGTGTTGTTTTATTTGTGATAAAATATTATGTAATTGTAGGGGAAATTGTAGTATTAGGTCTTAATATTTTATGTGTATTTTTTGTGGGTTGTATTTATGGAATCTTATAGTTAGTTGTTGTTTGTTTCTATGATATCTATTATGATTTTGTATTATGAGCAGATGATATCTAAATATTGTTTAGATTTTGATATAATGATTAATTCTAGATAAAATTATATTATGAGTAAGATGATATTGAATCGAATATAGCATGGTTAGTGGTTTTTTTTAGTACTTTGGTTTGTCAGAACTATGCTTTTGTATATATAATGTTGAAACTAAGAAATTCTTATGGGATTGAAAAACATTAAAAATCTTCCAAGTTTGTAAGTTAGCATTTTAGACTATGAATGATTAAAGAGTAGTATTTATAGGGCTGTGTAAATACGTATTTTATGAATAATTTGATGTTTGTTCATAGAATATTTTTTATTCATAAAATTAAATTAATTTGAACAAAATTTTAAAAATTTGCCATATAATAAAGAATTTTAAGCTTGCTTATTTATGTTCATGAGTATGTTTGTTTGATATTTAATAAATAGTTTAATAAGAAAAATATAAAATGATAATTATAATTGATATTTTATTTGATGATTTATTTTATGTTATTATATTAAAAATTTTAATAGTCTATAACTTTTAAAATTATTTATATTTTGATATTTATATATGAAATGAAAATATAAAATAAATAGTTGGATGAATAAATAAGATATTTTTATTAATATTTATAAAAAAAAATGCAATCAATAATCTTCAATATATATCTTCTCCGTGTTGTACTATCAACAACAAAGTTAATAATTGTAATTTTTATCTAAGACAATAAATTAAGAAGTTTAAGCAAATAAAAAAGTTAAATTTACAAAGAAGAATATAAGAGACCACCCAGTGATACATAAATAAAATTGAGCGCATCAAATTATTCATTTCACAACATATATAATAAAATATTAAAAGAAGAATGTATTTATATATAAAGGGACCACCAAATATAGTGATACATAAATAAAACAGTGTACATTGATCAAGTGATAAAAATACAAATTGGTTCTTGCTGAGATAAATTAAAGTAGTTTTTTTTTTTAAAGATGATTTTATTCCAGTAGTGAAAGAGAATACAACCAGCTTAAAAAAAAAAAAAAGATTACACAGCCAAAAATAGAAATGACAAGATAGCCAAACGGGCTAAGAAAAAGCTCAAAGTTTCCTGCAACCACCCAAACGCCGGGCAAGGACCATCCATAGGCAGAAACCAACAACAACCTACCAAGAAGCAAATGAAAGAAGAAACAACAACCCAAACAAGGACTCCATACAAAACAAGCTGAAACACATCAGTGGTTGACAATAAGACTCGGCAGTCTGGGTAGTGAGCAAGAACTCGCCACATCATTGCCCATAAAAGGATCAAAGAAGCCGCTAAGCCAACCCCAAGCAGCACATCCACCCAAACTAAAGCCAAGCACCAGTTGGACCTATTTTCAGTGATGAATAGAGATATGAGGAATGCGAGCAATCTTGTGCCGATCGGAGCCTCCATCCTCTCCATACTTCTCCTTTAATTCTGGATGGCATCCCGAAATTGTTAGACGTTCCAAAGAGGGAGGAAGGTTCGGTAATTCCCGAAGCATAGGAGCCCAATAAATATATAGTTTCTGAAGTGAAGATAAGCTTTCCAAGGAGGAAGGTAGAGACTGTAAGGATTTGAGAGATGAAAATTGCAGCTCAGAAAGAGAAGACCTAACTTTCAGAAACCACTGCTCCGCCTCATTTGGAAATGAAACCACCTCATCATTATGCTCAATTCTCAGCTCTTTTAAGGAGGTGATACTTCTCAATGGCTCCATTAGCAACACCGATGGATCACTTATCCAGAGATTATTGAGTATGAGATGACAATTATTAGCGGTCTCCACTTCTCGATATCTTCCCAGAGAGATCAGATTGGGGCAATTTCTAATTGTCAAGAATCTTAGTGCTGCAAGTCTTGCTATTTCATCAGCCAGAGGAAGAGATGTAATGTTTGGGCAGTCAAAGACCGCTAATTTTTCAAGGGGAATAGGATTTGAATTGCAACCAAAGTTCAAAGTCTTCCACCCCATCATTCCTATGCACAAGCTCTTGAGCTTAGGAGGCAAAGAGGGCAACTCTTTCAACTTCGGGCACCTATCTAGCACCAGATTAATTAAGCAAGGAAAGAAACATCCATCTTCAGCAGCTACTCCTGCCTCAAACCAATCCTCTAATGCTTCTAATCCTCCAATATGTAAAACCTCTAGCAATGGAAAGGCTCGGTATTTATCATTCCCATTAAATTTACTTTCGAGCCATTTTACTTTCGGCATGTTATAAAGTTCCAGTGACTTGAGGAAGGAAAGTTGCCCGAAAGGAGGAAGAGAT